ACAGCTGGCTCTGCACATGAAATGATGGTTGTAACAGCCTGCTAGGGGACCACTGACACCTGGAGGATAAGGTTCATGCACAACATGTGATTCTAGTGGTATGAGGGGTATTTTGCACCCAACAATATCCCAACAACCTCATCATTACCCCTAGATATTTTTATTATATATTACACCTCACAAGAAAGAGAGTGTGTGGAAGAAATGAGACGCATACTGTAGCAGAAAAATCAGATTTTTATTTTCCCTTTTCCTTTCTTCTTCCTTGGGTTTTCCTCCATTGATAAAGCTTCAAGGAGTGGTGAGCTAGGCGCCGAGAGGAGCTAGCGAGCTAAGGTGGTTCGTGGTGGCCGATGAGACCTCCGGTGGCGCGCGTCGAAGGCTTTTTCTCACTTTCCTTTGTTCCTATTTTCTTTATTTTATTTGTGGGCTGTTGGAACGAATATTTTATGGATTTTTCTATGAATATTTCGAACCCCACCATGAACTAACTTATTTGGTGGTGGTTGGTTTAATGGATGTTTAAACTTTATTTTTAATGGTATGTTTAAGTTTATTTTGGTTCTTTATTTGCTTTGCTTATGAATGCTTCACCATCTAGGCTTGTAAGAGGCATGGAAATGTCCATTTCTTAGATGAAGGTTAGGTGTTCAGAAGAATCCTAAGCTAAAAATACTTGCAAGTATTCGGAAGAAACGTAAGACAAGATCCTCATAAGCAATGGGTTATAGTATTTTCAAGGGGCTTTGAACCGGCCTAGGAGTATTATAACCTAATCCCTTAGATCTCGGAAGAGACTAGGATAGGATTTCAACGACTAAAAAGGGTGTCTTTATCAATAGGGTAGGCTGTCCAACATCGTTGAGTGAGAGCAAATGCCTTGGCATCCTATTCTGTTAGGTTCCTGTGAGAATATTTTAGGAAAGCCCTGTCGAGTAAGTAACGACCAGGTAGCTTAAATCTGCCTGAGAGATAAGTTTAACATCCTTAGATCAATCCCTACCATTCATTCCATTGAAAGCTTGTCACGTGAGGATTATCTTCTTTTTATTTATTTACTGTTTTTTTTTTACCATTTTCCTTTGCCATGACATTTCTTTTTGTTACTCATACACATTTCATTTGCCTCGGCATAATCATTTGTGAATACCATTAGCTATACTTAATTAATTTAGAATAGTGCATAACTTTTACTCAATATCCTTCCAATCCCTGTGGAGACGATACTCACTCATCACTGTATTACTTTTGCGATTGTGTATACTTGCACATTATTTGCGTATAATTTTATAGTACTCGCAATACGCAACATGTGATTATATTATTATATACAATAAAGCTGAATTCAGCTAGCCAAAATGGCAAATGTGTTAACAAATGGACTAAGGGAGTTACGAAACACCTGTTATAGTCAACTTCACACAAGCACTCAGAAATTTCATTTTTAGATCGATATTTTTGCACTATTTTGATTAGATGAGTCTAAATGAAAAATTCCAGAGAATTGAAATGGAAGGACTCTAGAAGGTCTAGTAATTGACAATCCTAGTTGCGTCATTTTGTACGTATCCGATTAAATTACCAAATCCTCAAAGTAAGGCATGTGACAAAGTTCACAAAGATCAATAGATGTGTGACATCTTAAATAGATGTAACCATAGAAAATAGGAAAGTCATCCTGAAACCAAACCAAATCTTTATACTTGTCAAAGAACTATAATTCTTAAACATTAAAGAATTGTTGATTCTTTTGATATTCTTTGAATTCATGCTTATGATTTGATTTTATTGTGAACCTTTGATAGGCAACATTTTACAAAATTATGTCATTCTTCGATAAAGAAAGGAGGAAAAACATTTTTCAAACAAGACAGTCTCAAATGAGGAAGGTCCTTACAACAGATTGTTGCCTATTCTACATCTATTGTAGAAAGAATAAGTAAGACCAGAATGATGAAGCATTCTTGAAATCAAGTGGTCTGAGAAGCCAGAAAGTTTGGAGAATTGAACTTGTGACGCTCTCCTATGACATCATTAGCAATCCATCAAGAAAAATTATCACTTATCTCATACTGAAGGCGATAAGCATCACCAGACAAATTATTTTCCCCAGCCATCAATCTATGTCTCTAGCAGATTCTCCAATCACAAAGTCATAAGTCCCATTAAGTGTATTATGGGAATGAACAAGTCACCACTTGCACTCTGGTTATACAGTGATACTGGCAGACAACTTTTGGCGGCAAAATCAACGAGATAATGCGTTGAAATTTTTTTTTTCACGAGATAGTGCCCTCGCCAGATTAATTGCTCAGATGGGGTGATCTCTACAGTCATCATATAGGTCGTCAGGTGCTCCGGGCGACGTCCCTGTTAGATGGGGTAGGTTGCCATGCACGCCCAGCAACCTACCAGGTCACCATGCACGCCCAGCGACCTAGGTAGGTCGCCATGCAATCCATGCAGCCCCAAAGGTTGCCATGCAGTCCATGCTTGGCAAATTCCTGAACAATGTTGGTGGTTTAGACATGCCTGAACAATGAAGCTTATAAACAATCAACTCTTAAAAGAGATGAAGAAGTTTGATACTGTGATTTGGATTACTGTGTCGACAAATGGGGTTTAAAGAAATTAAAATAAATCCCCTTGTGGATGAAGAAGCATGGAACTTGTTCCTGGAGAAAGTGGGTGGAGATGTTTTAGACATCCCAGGATTGGAACCAATTGCAAAACTAATAGCTAAGCATTGTGCGGGTTTGCCCTTAGCGATAATCACGGTAGCTTCTTGTATGAAAGGAATTCATGACCTCTCTGAATGGAGGAATGCACTAAACGAATCAAGTGTACTCATAAAAAGTGTTAATGGGTTGAAAGATGAGGTTTTCCAGCAGTTGCAATTTAGTTTCAATCGTTTAAAGGATGTAAAACTCCAGCAATGTTTCCTAAGTTTTGCATTATATCCTGAAGATTGTGAAATCAGTGAGGTAGATCTTGTTTAACTTTGGATTGCTTTAGGGTTTGTAGATGAAATGGATAACAGGGAAGCAGAGTTTGACAGGGGTCATGCAATAATGAATAGACTCATAAACAATTGTTTGTTGGAAGTTTGTCCTGAAACAGAAGATGGAATATGTGTAAAGATGCATGATCTTGTAAGGGACACGGTATTTGCCAAGCATGGACTGCATGGCGACCTTTGGGGCTGCATGGATTGCATGGCGACCTACCTAGGTCGCTGGGCGTGCATGGCGACCTACCCCATCTAACAGGGACGTCGCCCGGAGCACCTGGCGACCTATATGAGATCACCCCATCTAAGCAATTAATCTGGCGAGGGCACTATCTCGTGAAAAAAAAATTCAACGCATTATCTCGTTGATTTTGCCACTTTTGGCCTAATTTTTTTCTTTTTACGCTATGTCGAAAGTTGTGATTAATGACTTCAGCTATTTTGGTAAATTTCACCTTAAATCTTTAAATAACTTTTTAATACTAGTATTTTTACTATTTTGTTTTAAAAATAATATTTTTTAATTTTCTAATATTATATTATATTATAATATTTAACCTCATATAATTGTTGTTATTTTTTGAGATTCTAGATTCAAGCTCCATGAATATTAGGAGTATAAACGTTCAATGTAGAATGGTTGAGAGTTGTCTTTGAACAAATATTGTATTTTACTTATCCCAAATTAATAAAAAAAAAAACTCAAATGATTAGAGTTTTACTTCGACTCATATTTTCTGTAAAAAGTACAATTAAAAAATTATATTCTTTATTTAAATGTTTATTTTTTAATCAAAATCGATGATTAATGTTTTATCTTAGGGTAAAGTACATAAATGGTCCATTGACTATAAGATATTACTTTGTTGAGTTTTTCAACTATTAAAAATTACAAAATGGTTCATCGATTATAGGTTGTTATATGATAAAATCTGATCTCATAATCTCAAACGACTATCATATCTCAATCACAGATTAACGACTAACTTAGACGGTCGTTATTTTTTAACGGAAAAATACGACTCTAAAACATAATGAATAGTCGGGTGACCATTTTGTAACTTTTAATAGTCGATGGACTCAACAAAACAATACCTTATTATTGGGGTATCATTTTATAACTTTCAATAGTTGAATGACTCAACAAAATAGTATCCTATATTTGGGGGACCATGTGTATGCTTTACCTTTTATCTTATTACTATTTTACGGTTAAATTATTAATTATTCGTTAAAAAAACTGTCACTCAATTTTTGCGTGACACCTAATATGAAGTTTAATTAACTTTTATTTTTAAGAAATAAAAGATCATAAAATAATTATTTTGTAAAAAAAGTAAAGTCCCTTTTAAATCCCTAAAATGATACCTGATGTTGTTGAGCGTCATTCCATAAGGTGTAGTTCTGTATTCTCCTGCTTTCCCAAGAAAATATTTGATGGTTGAAGCTAATTTCTTTTTGGATTGATAAAAAACATAGTTTTATAACATAGATAAAAAAAATTATGTATAAGGTCTCTACATCACACATAAATTCGAGCGAAGTAAACAGATAAATTGACCTGATTGGGATCCATATAGTAATGAATCGAAAACAGCTGAATATGCTAAAAATTGAAGTTTAAAGATTCGTAAAAAATAAAATTATAATTTAGTAGGTGTTAACCTATTTAGACAGAAATCTAATATAATAAAGTCCTAAAGTATAAGCTTAATAAATAGTAAAAGACAAGTCTTACATAGGGAGCACTAATATATGTTAATAAATAGTAGATATAGCACTTACTAGTTTAAACCGTCGAGGACGATCTTAGTAGATACAGATTCTGCCTCATCATTTGTTGAGATTTTAGACTTTCTTCGTATGAATCCCAAACAATAAAATTCGAAATCATTCTGCACAATCATCCAATGGAATGGAATGGAAGATGTTCCCAATGCACCAAAAAGCAACCTACTAGTAGTAGGGCAAAACCTAGCTCATTAATACGAATCGAACAAAATACGAATATATTCTACAGTTAACTACTCTTCATCGTTGTTTTGCAGAATACAAAATGTGGGGGGTCAATGGCATTATCTATATATGGTAATAACATTGGAGGGGTAAATACAATACAATAATTACATCCTAATACCGTGCCTTTTATCTTATGCAGAAACCAAAAAAATAAAATAAAAAAAAGAGCCATAAGGGAATCTAATGCGAGTCAAAGGTTTGTCAATAACCATTTACAGTTTTGTGGGGTTTCTTCTTGAAATTTGAGATGCTACAGTGTGGACAAACATACTCCAGTCCATCTGTTTTTGCATAATCCTGCCATTTACAACATGGATATATCGAGTTAATTGCAATCCAGCCAAGGAAACAGAATCGATGACACTAGGATTATGCAATACGTCCCATATTCAGTGCTTCATCAAATGTCAAACATATTGTTAGTTGTGGCGGTTATAGCACACTTCTGTTGATCTCATTCAAAATCATACAAATTATAGTTTACGCTACTCTGATGGTGGCCTTTTTTTATAAATTTGTTTAGCCTTGTCACTTCAAAAGAAAGTTCTGAGAAGGTACCTTAAAGGCTCCAAGACCCTGCCGCCTATCACAGCCAAAGTGAGCCCACTCGCCACAAATTCCACAGTTTACCCAGTCACCTGCTGCGCTACTGTTGCCAAAAATACTCTCCAAAGTCGGTACTTCAAACTCACAGTGATCATGTAATGTGCATGTGTGTGTGTGTGAGAGAGAGAGAGAGAGACCTGTGACACAACAAGCAGCATTCTCCATCGACATCATCATGAGCCAGTTCGTACTCTAAAAGGTAAGTCTCATAGTGTCTTTTCAGAGTGTTACCCACTCCCTAGGTAATTAAAGGAATAAGACCCGATAAGTCGTACAGACATTAGAAAAGTTCTACGACAACAAGCTAAAAGTCTAAAACTCGATAGAGAAACAACATACAACAAAAACATAAAGAGTGGAAAACATGAAATGTCATTTGAAGAACTTAAGATCAAAATGACAACAGCTGAAACAACACATAGGATTTATCATTTTTGTGAAGCTAACCAAAAACTGCAAACTATATCAATAAAAATAATATCAGAAAGGGAAACTACGAGGTTGACAACTTGAAAACATACAGTCATTCTATTTGTCAATGTGTGATTTCGCATCTTCGAAAAAACTTGTCCCTTCCAATTTATGCCGTTCCCAACATGAAAGCCTCCTCTTGACACCACCTGTAAGAAGAATCTTTCAATACAATTTTTTGCCAGATTCCCAATCATATTTACCACAACGAATGGCTTACCTCTCTATACAAGTTAAAAAGGTCAAGCCGTTTTGCATTCAGAATGGCATCAGGAAACTCAGCTAACCCACCTTGAGGAACAAGACGAGTATGTCCCCGAAGAATCAAAAATTGCATCACATCTCTCAAAAATTCTTCCTGCCAGAAAATAAACCAACAGGCATAAAAAGGATATATTAGAGAAATAAACTCACAAAGATACCAAATCATGCAAGCTTCACTATTACTTCTTTAGTTGCATCGTGAGATTCACCTAAACCTTTGTCTTTGTTCATGGTGAGGAAAAGCAGATCAACATGGTATAACAGAGAAAACAAACCACAATTTTCTTAAAATATTTCAATCTCTCTCATAAACATAAATGATTCGCACATTCAAATAACAAAAAGAAGGTTGAATACAAGGGAAAAAATAGATGTACGACTTTCCCCATCTTCGGCAATAACTCAAGAAAGAACCCATCAAATTTTATTACAAAGGCAGAGATAAAAAGAACCTACATTGGAAATAAAAATAAGAAACTGATTCTGACAACACATTTTCTATGAAAACTTCATTATCACAGTGCTAATTCATCTCTACACCTGAGCATGCAATATACTTAACATTTTCCCCTAAATCCAGCAGCATACATAAGAAATTTTTTAGTAACGTCGTATCAACTATGACCTTCCTAATCGAGATATAGCATGCCCTATCAGCTAGAGTGGATAAAAACATGTAGAGTTCAAGAAAAATATCCATAAAGGCATATGAATCTGAGCATAGATCACAATTTTGCACTACAGTATGTCAATGTAACAAAAATGCGGAAGCCATATTAACAAATTCTTAAACTCAGAGAAGATAACTAACCTCAGAGCAAACCTGTATTGGTGTTCGATCACAACCATGTTTCTTAAGTGGTAATGGATTTAAAGAAATCATCTGCTGAGCCTGATAAGAATTCGTTGATGCTTTCCGATGTGTGATAGGAGCAGGTTGCTTCACAGGCACGACTGGCAAGTTAGCCTTTCCTTGGTCACCATCATATCTCCCAGCCTCAGAAAATCCAGAAAAGGGAAGCATCTTATGACGATGGGTATGAGGAATTGGCCTCATAGCAGCAACATTTGGTTTCGGCCTTGCATTACCATTTACACCTTCCATGATAGTACAGTTTAGAGGTTTAATGTCCCTAATTGACTCTGATCTTTTACGACAAGGTGCTGGAGGCACCAACCAGATGGGAGATCTGGTAATTATAGAACTATCCCAGAGGGAAACACCATTAGTCTAAGATGAGAGAGAGTGTCAGGGAGAAAGTGGGAGAGAGAGAGAGGTTTTCAGTTGGTCAGTTTTCCGGTGAGGAGTGGACGGTTTTCGTTGACAATCTGAGTAAAAGGGTAACTAGGAAAACTCTTAAGGAAATTTTTCATCAACAGGGGAGTGTTGTTCGTGTCTACATTCCGAATAATTCCAACAAGCCGAATTATAGAAATTATACGTTTGCTTTCGTCCAGTTTGCTAATGAGGATGGGTTGTTGAGGGCGATAGCAAAAATTAATGGTATCTGGATTGATGGTAAGAAAATATCAGTAGGAGTTGCTAAGTACCAGAAGAAGAGACTAAAGCAGGCTGTTAGAAGTAACGACAGTAAGGAAGTTGATAAGTGGGAAAAGGATACGCATCGGAGTAGAAGAGCTGGACCAGAATCTTATAGCCGACTGAGAGATGAGAGATCTTACAAGGAGGCGTTAGCGTCTTTGGATGGAAGGAGAGAAGGTCCGGCGTCTAAAGTGATTTGGGAAGGCCATAAAGACAAGGAAGTAGGGGTGAGGAATTTGTGGGAAATGCATATTCCCCCAGACGAATATGATTGGGTGAAAAGATCAATAACTGGGATCATTAAATCCCATTTTGATCTGGGGACAGTAGTGAAGGGGTTGGCTAGTAAAGGGATCAAGGTCAAGGGAACTAAATGGGGTTATACCTGGAACTCTTGCATTATAACCTTTGGGTCGAAGGAAGAGTTCGAGGAGGCGTGGAAAAACAGAAGGGATGAAGTGTCACTTTGGTTCGACTGGCTTGATCCACTTATGAGTGTAGATGGAGTCCCGATGGCTTTCTGTTCAGTGGAGTTGCATGGAATCCCTTTACTATGTTGTAATGGATCTTTTTTGGAAAAGCTGGTCTCAAGGTGGGGGAAATTGGTGTGTATTCATGAGTCCACGATCAGAAGAGAGGATTTGGCGGTGGCAAGAGCTTTGTTGAGGGTGGCGAGTCCTTATGATATACAGGATTCTGTTACCTTGGGTGCATATGGGAGATCGTATAAGGTTAAGATTAGTGTGGGATCGGTCAGTTATAAACAGGAGAGTTTTTTTGCAGAAATTCTTCAGGTGGCCGGAGATGGTGTGTCTAGAGTTGATTCTTCATCGGAAGAGAAAGAAGTCCGGAGTTCAGGTGGAGTAGGTAGCCCACAATTGCCAGCTGAGAATTCTAGGGACACAGTAGACAGATGGTTGGTAGGTGATGTCTGCACAACAGTGGCAGGAGGCAGTGGAAGTAAACATTTAATACTGCAGGAAGGAGAAAGTCAACCTAGTGGTGCTAAGGTGTCAGGTTTTTCTGCAGAAGATTTGAATTTTAAAGAGGACTATAGGGGCCTTGGTCTAAGGAATGTCTCTATTAATGAATTTGAAGAAGCCCATTTAGAGGGCTCAAGTGAGTCCAATACAAATATCTACAGAATAGTACCTTCTGGGCCAGCTGTTAATTTATTAAAACTGGGATATGGTAACCGTTTGGAGTCTCGGGTGGAATTTGCAGGTTCTCAGCAGCAATCTGATTCAGATAAAATAAAGGTGCAGAATTGGGCTAATGTCTCGGCAGACTTAAATCCAAATTTGTTGCCTGCTGGGTCTTCACAATCTAACAGGGAGTATGATTCACCAGCTAATAATCTAATTCCAGGGGGGCATGATGTTAAATTAAGTAGGATGGAGGTTCAAGGAGAGTTTCAGCATTCTGTTTTGGTAGACTCAAAAATGCAGAATTCGAATACTGATTTGTCAGGTTACAAACATATTTCGATTGAGGGTGGGTTCAATAGAGTACAGTCTCAATCTGAAGGGATCTCAAATAAGCCAAATAAGGATCTGTTAGAGGAAGTAGTAGTCTTGGAAAAGGACGATTGTAGGGGGGTTGGAACTGAACTGATTAGGGATAGAGACAGATCGTTGTTCCAGCATAGAAGAACATTTTGGCCCAAAAGTTTGCCCATAGAGAGGAGGAGAATGGCCAGCTATAAAAGACATTATACCAGGTCGAGGGTGAGAATTAACTGGTTTGAGAATAAACACAAAGGTATTCCGGTGAGAAAGGATTTGCAGCCTCCTTCAATAAATATGGAAGGTGGAAGGGAAGTGATTTTAAATGGTGCAGCTGATGATCAGAACCCTTATGTGGCACCAACTAATTGTAATAGTTCTTCGGAGGTCTTGGCAGTAGTTCCTTTCTCTGCTGTAGGGTCAGAAAGGTCTAAAAGAAGGGAGAGAAGAGTTTTAACAAGGGAAGCAGTTGATATGGTTAATTCTCCTTTAGTTTTTACTCCTCAGTTCTCGAAGGCGGTTGAGGAAGCGATGGTTACATGGGAAGTATGTAAAGTTCTAGGAATTTCTTTCAAAGATGGGAAGAAGGCTTTTTTGGACAAAATTATCAACCTTGAAGAGGGTTCGGCTGAGAGTAGGGAACAGGGGAAGTCAGGGGTTTAGTCTCTATTTCTCTGGAGACTAGCTATAAGGATTTGGTGTAGATCTTCTTGATATGATAAATGTCAACATTATTTCTTGGAATGTAAGGGGTCTTGGAAAAAAGGAAAAGTCAAGAGTGGTAGCTAATTTGGTGAAGAAGAATAAGCCGAACTTGATTCTAATTCAAGAAACAAAACTAGAATCTGTTTCTTTGGCTCTTAGAAGAAGGATAGGGGGGAGATTCCTTAGAGGAGGGATTGTTGCGCCAGCAGTGGGATCTGCTGGTGGATTGATGATTATGTGGAATGAAAATGATTTTGAAGTTTCGAACACCCATCTTAATGGCAGATTCATAGCAGTCTTTGGGAAGTTCAGAAATTCAAGTGAAGAGTGTCTGATTATCAATGTATACGGTCCATCAATTGAAGCAGAAAAGGAAGATTTTTTCAGGGAATTGTTGGAGTTTGTTTCGGCTCAAAATATGTTAGTGTGTATTGGGGGAGATTTTAATGTGTATCTTGATCCGGACGAGAAGATGGGAAAATCACAAAACTGGCATTCTATTGATTTATTTAGAAACTTCTTACAGCAATCACATTTAATTGATCTACCGTTGGTGGGAGGAAGGTATACTTGGTGCAATAATAGAGAAGACTCGACTTGGGAAAGACTAGACAGGTTCTTAATCTCTGGGACGTTTCTGTCATGTTTTCCAAATGTAGTGCAAAGTCTCTTGCCTAAATCCCTATCTGATCATAATCCTGTCTCATTAGAGGACAAAGCTGTTAATTGGGGACCGAAACCATTCAGGTTTTTTAATTATTTACTAGAGGAGGAAGGATTTGAGGAATTGGTTAAATCTTCAATGCTTGCTATGAGGGGGAGAAATAATAAAAGGGGTATTTTCAGTATCTTAAAAGGTACTAAAAATTCAATCAGAAATTGGTCCAGCAGTAAATTTACTGGGATCCCTGAGTCGATTTCTGATTTAGAGAGGAAAATTAATGAATTGGATCTTAAAGCTCAAGGTGGAATTCTTTCGAAGCAGGAGTGGGATCAGTTGAGGCTGTGTAGGACAAATCTATGGAGGTTGTATAGGACAGAAGAAAGCATCTGGTTTCAGAAGTCAAGGGCAAGATGGATCAAGGAGGGGGATAGGAACACAAGGTTTTTTCATCTGTCTGCTCTGAACAGAAGCAAAAGAAATGAAATCTTAAGCTTGAAGATAAATGGGAGTGTGGTTTCAGATCCTCAACAATTAAAGGTACATATTTCAGAATTTTTCAAGGCAGCCTATAATTCCAATTCAACATTGGAAACGGAGGATTTACTACTGGATTTTGCTAAGCTATCAGGGGATCAGTCTAAGAAGCTTGAAGAGCACTTCTTAGAACAGGAAATTTGGCAAGCTATAGTCTCATCAGACAGCTCTAAAGCTCCAGGACCAGATGGTTTCACCATGGGTTTCTTTAAAAACTGCTGGCCGATTTTAAAGGAGCACGTGTTGAAATTTTTTGAAGATTTCTATTTTGGAAGGAAATGGGAGCACGGTATAAACCATGCTTTTATCACACTTATTCCGAAGAAGCTTAATCCGGACAGTGTAGAGGAATTTAGACCAATCAGCCTTGTAGGCAGCTTATACAAGATACTTTCTAAAGTTCTTTCGAAGAGACTGAGTTGTTGTGTTGGTGATATTATTAGTCACTCTCAGTTTGCGTTTATACCAGGGAGACAGTTGCTGGATTGTGCTTTTATAGCAAACGAAGGGATTGATTACTGGAGGAAAAAAGGGTTAAAAGGGGTTGCCTTCAAAGTAGATTTTCGTAGGGCTTATGATTCCGTGGAATGGCCAATTTTAATTAGAATAATGTCAGAGATGGGTTTTGGTAAGAGATGGTTGTCGTGGATATCTCAGTGTATTTCAACAGCTTCAATCTCAGTTCTCGTAAACGGGTCTCCATCGGAAGAGTTCCACATGGCCAAAGGACTTAGGCAAGGGTGCAGTTTATCACCGCTACTGTTTAACATTGTAGGTGAGCTGCTTAATTTGATGATATCTAAAGCAGTGGACAGGGGTCTGTTTCAAGGCTTTGTTATTGGGGAATCTGAAAATTCTGTTCGATTGACACATCTACAATTTGCAGATGACTTGATCATCTTCTGTCAAGCATCTCTCTCCCAGATTAAAAATGTCAAGAGAGTATTGAGGATTTTTAGTGTTATGACAGGGTTGCATCTTAATCTAGCTAAGAGTAAGCTATTTGGTATTAATGTGGAAGAGGAAGTTTTATCAGAATGGGCATCTTCGGTGGGCTGCTCTATTGATTCTCTTCCAACAGATTACTTGGGACTTCCTCTAGGTGCTAAGAAAAACTCAGAAGCCTTATGGGATCCAGTTTTCAAGAATTTTAGTTCCAAACTAGCCGGCTGGAAAGCTAATTGTCTCTCATTGGCGGGCAGGACAGTTTTATTAAAGTCGGTGTTAACATCCCTACCAATATTCTTCTTATCTCTTTTTAGAATGCCTTGTAAAATTGGTAAGAAGCTTAATTCTTTAATGGCCAGTTTCCTATGGGGGGATAATGAGGACAAAAGGAAGATACACTGGGTTAATTGGAAATCAGTCTGCACGCCTCTAAATTGTGGTGGCCTTGGTGTTCTTGATGTGAACATATCTAATCGGGCTCTTTTGGGAAAATGGGTGTGGAAGTTCGCCAATGAAAAAATACTTTGTGGAAAAGTGTGTTATGTTGCAGGCACAAGGTAAGTAGTAATTCCATGTCTATTTGTAAGGTTTTTTCGCCCAAATCTTCTTGGATTTGGAGAGGGATTGCCAACAATTTCTTGAAGAACGACTCGGAGGGTGAACGTATCAGATCTAACTCCAAGTTGAAACTGGGAAATGGAAAGTCTATTGCATTTTGGACGGATTCATGGGCTGATGAGTCTCCTTTAAAATATCTTTTCCCTAGAATGTATGCGTTGTCAACAAATAAATGGGGTATGGTCGCTGAGTTTGGAAGTTCAGATTCGAACGGTTGGGTGTGGAACATCGATACCAGAAGGAATTTGTGTGACTGGGAGTTGGATCAGTGGCTGGATTTAATGACAAAACTGAAGGACTTTAAACTGACTGATTCAGTTGAAGACTTTCTTTCTTGGTCTGCAAGTGGGGATGGACTGTTTTCAGTGAAATCTTGTAGAAAGGAACTCGGCAAGGTGTCTGGGGAGTCCGATTTATGGGTAAAAGGGGTGTGGCAGGGTTTATCTCCTCCTCGTGTTGAAGTCTTCCTGTGGCAGCTAGCTCATCAGAAAGTGGCAGTGAGAGAGGAGTTGGTGAAAAGAGGTTTGCAGCTAGGGGATGAAATTTATGTCCGTTTTGTAAAAAACAGGTGGAATCAGTTCAGCATTTATTTATTTCATGTGATGTTGTTTGGGAACTTTGGAACAAGATAGCAAGCTATTGGGAAATAGCCTTAGTCCTTCCAAAGGATCCACCTTCTTTGCTATGTTCTTGGGGTGAGCTGAGGGGAAATCGTTGATTTGGAAATTTATCCCGGGAGTAGTATTTTGGTCGATATGGAAAGCTAGGAATGCAATGGTGTTCGATGGTTCCCCCTTGGATAGGATGTCTCTGTTTTTATTGCTAGATTCAGGTTATCTAAATGGTTTCTAGCCAAGTATCCTAAGTGTCCTATTCAGGAGGATGTGCTGATTGGTGATCCATCTCTTGCAGATGGTATTAAAGCTCTCAACATTTACAATTTTCAGGTTTCTCGCTGGATTCCACCCCTATGGATTTTTTGAAGATGAATGTCGATGGAGCTGTTAGACTTGATGGCTCAAATGGAGGTATAGGAGGTATTTTGAGAGATTGGAATAGCAACTCCCTTCTGACTTTTTCAGAAAATGTAGGTCAGGGTCCCCCGCCGGTTGCTGAGTTAAAGGCTATTAAGAGAGGCATTGAAATCTATATGTCTTCTTGTTGGGTTAAGGTTGGAAGGTTGATTGTGGAAAGTGACTGTAAGTCGGCTGTGGAATGGGTCCATACACCAGCTATGGCCCCAGTTTTTATCCTCCCATTAGTTAAAGAGATTTCATCTTTTATCACGGACAGGGTGCACTCTATTAGACTGATTCCAAGGGTGTGTAATGGGGAGGCTGATAGTTTAGCAAAGATGGGAATTGGTTGATGTTTAGTCGTTTCCAGTGCGTTTTATCGTTTGAGTTTAGGTTTTCGGTTATGTTGAGTAGCTTAGTCTGTTGTGTTTTTTCAGTATGGTGTCTACGTTAAATCTTATGTAATTTCGGAGGAGTAATAAAGTTTCTAAGGCACTCTTTTCCTCCTTCTTTGATCAAGAAGGAGGTTTTTAAGGAGGCCTGTCATTCTTATCAAAAAAAGAACTATCCCAGAGGAGATCTTTTCCCTGACTCGCAGAAAAGAAAAGCAGGCGTTCTGCATCATCTTTTTCAAAAGAAGCAACCGACAACCCTTGAACGCTAGCAATTCCCAGCATAACTAAGCTGCGGTAGGATACATCTGGGGCAAGTTGCCTCAAAACCTATTAAGCCATTCCCAGAAACAGATCATGGTTACAAAAATATAAGTCAAGCTAAGTCAAACAAAATTACCATAATGAAAAAGGCTTCATAACGCAAGTATTTCTCAAAACATAATTCAGTAAAAGTTTCTCCTTCAAATGTTTATCTATACCCCTCATGAAATTTATGGTAAAAAGTACAAATAAGAGTTTACATAAGAACTCATAACACATAGTAAAAAGAGAAGTGTTATAATAGCAAGAAAACGATGGTTAAAGAGGACACTAGACCTGAGAAGCCCATGTGGGAACCTTCAAGCACACTTCAAACACATTTGCACCACAGGCAATTGAGGTTGATCTGCGAGGCTCAGATGAAGAAATTTTGCTTCCATCAGAGCTTGACTGTGCATGGACTAGCTGACTATTCTCGATAAGCTCGTTTTTTATATGATTTTCCAACAGCTGACAGCAAAACAAGGAACAAGAAAACAAGACTGTTAGGTGTGAACTTAAAGAAATAACACTAGCAATTAACCTGATTGAAATTACTTGCCTGATCATTAAAACAAGTCTGTGCACTGCCAGAAACTAAAAGTGATATGCGAGCTGAACTACAGGTTGAGAAATCACAACGCATGGTCATTACACCACGAGAAAATGTCCCAGCCTGAAGTGGTGGTGGTGGAGCACTATAAAATAGACGCTATTAGTATGTTGATGATATTTACACAAAAGGAGCTTGGATGTAGCAGTAGGTGGGGAATGGGAAGTCCATAAAAGAAAATATCGAAGTCACAAACACTCAACCTCAAAACCTGAACAAAGCCTAAAAATTAACACTCCCCCAAATGAAACTTTAACTAAGCTCAAAGTTATTGATACCTCGCACGGTTATGGAGTTTGCTTCCACGTATCTGAAACAATAGCCTTCTAGTTAATAAGAGGTTAAAAACGGATTAAAAGTATTAGCACAGATAATTCTCACACACCACATCCACAACACACTACAATTATACAATCATTAGAATATATGGTGATGTTTTCCCATGTGAACATGAACATCAAACAATTGAATATATGTCTGCATTTTCATGTCATAAAGCCTATTACAGCAAAGCTACTGTATGTGCAACCATATCCAACTCAATTTTGAGGGCATGCACAGAATAATATTGATCTCATTAAAAAAAAAATTGTAATGCCATTTTGATTATCAAGGTGATTATGATATATGAACACCCTTGATAATCATGTCAGCACTCTTTTTCAGCTAGATGATCTTTCCAGACAAAACTGAATTTTGCAAGAACACTAACACCATAATGCTTTTTAAGGCTGCATGGTGAACTAAATTCTAATAAAACTATCATTTGAAACATTTAGGATGAGATGATGGAGACGTGAAACAGTTAAAAATAGGAAGAAGGAATAGAAGATTTTGTGCTGTCTTCGCCATTAAAAACTCACCAAGTGACTAACCAAATCTAGATGCAGCAATAACTAATTTTATCTCTTAGACTATGATGTTTAAAAGATGATAGTGGAAATAAACATATAAGCTGAAACAGGCAAACTAAAGATATACATCCAAGGAGAAAAAACACACAAAAGCACTTGTACGAGCTTACTTCTATGCTCAAGAGGGCATTAAGTCCATCTTCCAAAGATCCCAACAGGGATGCATCCTGCAGGGCAGACAGTAATAACCAATATAAAACAGGATGAACAAAAGATTAGTAGTATAAGATAATTTTTTGGACAAGGAAAAAACTTGTACCTACCAATAGGTGTGGTGATTCACAAACAAGAAACCTCATATTAATATGCTCATCATATATCTTTATGGCAGGAAGATTTTCAAGAGAGTCATCTTCCTCTTGCATATCGACTTCGGGTTGAGAAACATCAATCTTGGGAGGGTCACCGAGCAAACATGGTTCTGGCTTAACACTTTGTTTCTGACTATCAGAAGAGGCAATATTGTTGTTCCATAAACAGTACAGTCTAAAAGAAGCATGGGCAAGTTGGAATGCATCCCAGGTATAGCTACATGAACTGCAATAGACCAAACTGCAAAACTTTAGTACTGCTTCCAAGTAAAATTTCTTCCAGTCAAGGTGAAGTTCATCTAAAATGGAGTAAAATGGAGTGCATAACTTTTAATTATCAACCAATTCCGGAAATTAACAGCAGTGGCAGCAACCTCTCTGGACAACTGACGCACTACAGCCACTATTCAGGGAGGTCTAGAAAGCTGGTCATGCTTTGTGTATACGAGTAGAAGTAGATGTACCTTTGTATCACTGATAGAAGTGCTTGACGAAAATGGCAGGCTTCATATCGTGAGAATGTATTTTTCCAATATATAACATAAGGGACTCCCTGGCAAGTATAAATGAATATCAGCTTTTATAAAAGCATAAAGAATGAATTTCAACAATTTGCTCACACCACAATAAATCGTTTTACCTTGGAGTGAAGTGCCTCTGCCAATTTGTCACCATTGGGGATCTCTAAATAAACCTACAAACATTTGAGAATAGATAATTCAACATATATAATGATTAACAACTTTAAATAAGCATTAAAACCTGTAAAAGTTGTAAAAAGAATATCAACCATATTCAGCATCTCTAACACTTATATCATACGTCACACACACACACACACACAAAAACACTTATATCATACGATTTCAGAGAGAAAATATCAAATAATAAACTCTAGGGAGCAATTAAAGTAACAAAATCATGCATCACTAACAGTGGTGGGCAATGTGGAACCAAAGAGTCCACAAAAGGCTTCTGGAGTAGATAAATCAATATCTCCCCAAACCAGAGAGCCAATGTCTTCATCATCTGCATTCTGCTCCCCTTGAAAGTAAACAATATTTGGCTCTGAAGATGCATGAACCCGCTGGAACTCTTCAATGCTAGGATTGTTCAGAATCTGGACCTTCACTCACACACGTGAAAATGTCACAACTTTTTAATAACTTTAAGCTAAAACATCTAAGCTTAAAAAATTGTAGGACTCTTAGTATGAGTTATATACCTCGAGGCGCCCTGAAGAAGCAAGCTCTGGAAATGGGTATCTCGGATTATGATCAGAAGTTTGCTTCCTATGTTTATTATCAGAAACTTCACTACTACTAAGAACTGCAAGGAGACTGCAATGGTTCCTCGAAGACCCTTGAGCATTAAACATCATGCAAACATGCCAGAACCAATAAAATTCGGGCTTGCCGCTATGTATAAGACACCAATGCCTGCTTTAAAAAAAATCTAAATAACCCAAAACATTAGAGTGAAATCAAATGAAAGCCCTAGAAAGCTTGCTGCAAGCCAGATAACTAAAAGCTCCCACCTATAGAAAATCTCCGAAAATTCCAAAATTCCACCGGAGAGCGAAAATGGAACTTCCCTCTGTATTCAGAGACACTTCAAATCCCTAAAATACAAAAGCTGACGACTTCAAAAAAAAAACACCGAGGCAGATGAGATTATCTAAGGGGATCGGAAACCCAGATGAGCAAAATACCAGAAAAGAGAATACCGAGAAGATTCCCGCAAAAAACAGAGGGATGCAAAGCTCCCAAAGAACAATAATCAAAAAGTAGCCAAAAAGAAGAAGAAAGAACCCTAAGTTTAGAAGACTCGCTCTAATAATAAATAAATCTCAAATAAGAACCTCGAAAGTATACATCTTCCTTTCACCTAATAAAAAATCTAAAAAAAATAGAAATTAAAATAAAAGCCGAAAATCAAAATCCGATAAAATTCAAAATCGCGCAATAAATTATTGCAACTAAAACATTTTCGGGTAGTTTAATTAAAAATCAAACAGCCCAGTCCCATCTTTTTTTCCTTTTTCTCTTTGTTGTCGGTTTGCATTTTAATAACTACAGTTTCCTTTTCCCCAATCACATTTTCGCATATATAATCCAAGTCAAAAACAAAAAATCCCATGGAACGTTTGATCAGGAAAACCCACAAAATAAGAAAGAAAGAAAATACCCATTTGTTAATTAAATTCTAATTTGACTTTTTACTTATCTGTTTCTTTCAAGTTTCACGTTTGTTTGATATTAAAAAGCCCTTCCAAGCATACAACTTCATGTTGCCCTGCTTTCAAAAGATAAACACTAATCGCGAACTTCGAGAATGTTAAATTCTTTTCTTTATTTGCTCCCTGCTTTTTGTGTTCTTGACATTAAAAATTCTACTACGCCGCAAGATTAGTCGATTACCACAAAGATTCCTATATGGAGTGGATTCTTTCTTTATTTCTTTGGGTTTTTGATTCGGACACGAATTCAGGACCAGGACTGATTGGTTCTATTCTCATTGTCCGAGATTGTCATTATCATTTGATTCATTTCCAATATCATAATCATTATATAATGATCATCATCAGCAGTCTTTTGTTCATTGTCTTCCATTAAATGCCATTACTTTCTAAAGTCTGCTCACTGTTTAAGAACCGCGACTCTCAGGATTTAACTTCTTGTTTTCTTCTTCTTTCTTCAGTTATATATTAATTTATGCTTTCAGAAGAGGAAAAGAAAAGAAAACATGAATGTTCTTTTAATTCATTTGCGTTTATTAAATATAAAATGTATATATATGATTTGAACATCGGTTGTGAAACATGTTCCTGCTAGTATCACAATCCAGAAGCGGAGTTAATTTCATTTTTTATTCAACTAAACAAAAACGTTAAGTATCAACAGTATGTAAGATATGTGAAATTCGATTTTATTTAAAAAAAATATTTTTTAGTTTTAAATTAATTATTCCTCGAATTATTCAAATCAATAGAATTTCGATTTTGAGTTCGAAATCGTGAAATTCGGATAACTGAAAATATAAAAATTAAAATGATGTTTTTTTAATTAAATAATTCAAATATTTTTATGGTTTGATTATTAATATTTTTTAGTTAATCACTAATATTCGATCTATCGACCGACTAATCTATCTCTAGAAGAGACAAAAACAACCCTCTCAACTCAGTTTGATCAATTCGCAAACATCAGGATTCGAATCCCTAACTTTATATAAGAAACCTAGTACCTTATCTCACTATACCAACGGGTTGTTCATTTATTTTTAATCTACTTTTTATTATATTTGAATTACATGTTATTATAATGACATAAAACACTTATATGACTTTAGCTTTTTAAATAAACATTTATTTTTTAATTTCATTTTTCAATTGTGTATGATTTTTTCGTTTCTTCGATTACTCTTTTGTTTCAAATCTATTTTTAATCAAATTTGACTAATATATTCATATATCATTATATAATGCTGTTGTAATTTCAATTGTTATTTTTAATAATATTTTATATTTCAACATTTAGTCCTTCAACTTTATATTTTATTCAATTGGTCATTCAACTGTAATTTTTTTTGTATATTTTTTCTTAACATTAATATTTTTTACTTATTTATACTTTAATCAATATTTTGTCATCAAGATCTCTTCTTTAAAAATTTTAGATGGTATTCATTTTATTAAATAACATTATAAATCTTATTTACACGTGTGAAAAGAATATAACTAAATAAATGTATATCTTATATGGTTAGCGAAAGTTATTTTAAATTTAAATTAATTAATATAATTATATTATAAATAATTGCAGTTAACGTCGAACATAAAATCGAATAACTCGATTCGAATTTTAAAAACTTTACTCAATTCGAAAAAAATCAAATAAAATTTGAATAATAAAACATAACTCGCTAACTCGATTAACTCATTTTTTTATTCAAATTAATTGAATTTATTACTTTATCATATAAGTGTATATACAAGGCGATTAAAATTTGATGTCTTCTTCTTCGGCATTCAATATTTATGTGGAGATCTGTTGATTCTCCGACTGTAGAGATCTTTACGTGTGACAGTGAGGGAGTAGCAGTGGTTGATTGCGGTTTACCTATACATGGTGCTCGTGGTTTGGGGTAGTGAAGCACACACTATCTATCACAGCGTACGCACAGTCATTGAGATGGAATTTTCACATGTTATCATCTAAAGTATTTCATTCAATGTTGTTCAACGGCTGAAAAATCATCATACGAGTCGTTTGGTATTATGTTTTTACTTCGATATTATTGCTTGTTGTGTTCACCGTGAGTCTACTAATGCTGCTTATGTCTTAACTGATCATGTTTCTCTTTCTATAATATTGTGATTTTTTTCAATTTTGTTGTTCCTTCGTGTATTCTAACTATTATTAGACGTGGTTTAAACTAAAAAAATAAACTGAATCAACAAAATATTAAGATGATAATTAAACATATTTTTTAAAATTAAAATACTGTTTAACTATTTTTAATACATCAATAGTTTGTTTTTAAAATAACAAAATTAAATGATCGTCTTATGTGAAAAGAAATTTAAAATTTGTTTGTTGTGCAATTTAGTTAAAAATGTTTTTTTCAATTTACGTTTTTTGATTAACGTAAAATATAAATTGATTAATGATATTTATTTTTGTTCAACATAATTTCTTTTACATTTTTTATAAATATAAATATAATCAATTTTAATGGAAATTTAAATTAAATATATTTTTGATAGATCATATATTAAATATTTAGTTTTGTGTAATGGTTAAACTTCAGATTTTTGTTTAAAGGGTGGTTAAAATTCTTTCATCTTTTAGCTCATTTTTTACCGATAAGGTAGTGATTTGTGTTGTTATTTTATTATAATTATTATTTTGGTTTAATGTAAAAATAGATGTCTAAAGTTAATTCTTGGTAGATTTTTTTTTTGTTAAAAATAGGTGTTAACGTTTCCGACGTTATACTTGGATGTGTCTATGGTTAAATTCAACTGTTAAATGACACATGTCAAGTTTATAAAAAAATAATATTTTTTTTGAAAATTTCTATGCCTGACATGTGTGACTTAATGGCCGAATTTAAAAGTATTAACGGTTCAAACACTGAAAAGTATAACGATGAAAACATTATACACCTATTTTTAATGAAAAATTCTTATTCACCTAAAGTTAACTTTAGGCATAATTTATGCACTTATTTTTACATTAAGCTTGTTATTTTTTGACAATAGAGGATCAAAATAGGAAAAATCGATTATTAATGGAACTTTTGTAAAAAATGGTTGATGATCAAAGTAGAAAACTGTAATAGTTGGTGACCAATAAGGTAGTTTAACCAATTATGATCACAAATGAAAAAAACGGCAAGCGGGACTAAAAGGAAAAGGACCGTTTTTATGTGCAAAAAGGACAAAAGAAAAACAAAAGCTAACAATCGAACGAGAAGTCGAGAACGACACAACAAAAAGCAGAGACTTCACAGGAAAACACAAAAAAAAAAAACATAAATAAATCGAAGCGTGAAACCGAGGGAGAAAAACAAAGTTAATCGAAGAAAATTGTTGTAAGTGATTTCGTATTATTAATTTTCCTTTTTTATTGGAAAATTAAATCGTGATTTTTTTTTCATTTCATTGCATCACTGACGTCAAATTTGCCGCGAAATTAACTATGGAGGTTAACGGCTTTAGCTTTTTTTGCTTTCGATTGTTCTCTTTTGGGCAGTTTCAATGTATTTTTTGTTGTTGTACAAGTAGAAATTTACTTAACGTGTTGATTTAGTTTTAATCAATTAAAGAGTAATACAGTTTTCTTGATGAGATTTTCAGTTGCTAGAAGATCCAAATAAACTTGTATTCGTATTGTTGTTGTCTTTCTTGTGTTAATCGGTCTCAATAAGAATTAACTTACTGATTTGATTTAGGGTTTCTATTAGTATGAAATAATTGTTATTATTTTCTAATTTTATGGTTTTATCTTATCAAGCAATGAATAGAAGTTACATCTCTAATTGAAGAAGAAGAACAAAAATGAAGAAGCAAATAAGATATTGGAACTTAGGGCCTTTGGATAGAGGAACTTGAGGTGCTAGTATTCCAGGTAATTTTAGTTTTCTTATTATTTATTTTGAAAATGCTAATGTTATGCTTTTCATGTTATTTAAATTAGTTTCTTAAACTTGTAACTTTTTTATGTCAATTCCAATCTAAGTTTCCCTTCCACTTTCAATTAATACTCTGTTTGGATTAATAAGTTTTAGAGTCGTAGTTTTGCTGGAACTTAATTATATATGTGTATTCTATTTGTCGTGGTTTTAATAATGGCTAGGGTATTAGGGGTGGAGATTTTATGGTTGTGACTTGTGAGAGTGACAAATGAATGAATCACGATGACTGGGATCCGTTGGGATAGTTGTAGATGGGCGCCCCTGATAACAAACAATCTGGCCGTTTAGACACAAAGTCGCGGATCTCTAGGAGTGAGCTTCTGAATGCGTCAAGTGATTTTTGGATGCCCGATCAGAGTTGTAGGGTATGCTACGAGTGTGACTCCCAATTTACAGTATTTAATCGTAGGCATCATTGTCGACTTTGTGGCCGTATTTTTTGTGCCAACTGTACAACAAACTCAATTTTTGTCCCATCTGATGAGCCAAGGACTGGTTGTGAAGATTCGGAAAGGATTAGGGTATGTAATTACTGCTCCAAGCAATGGGAGCAGGGGATAGCAGCAGTCGATAATGGGACCAAAACTCCTACTCCTTGTCTCTGTCCATCTCCTTCTGCAGCAAGCTTGGCCAGTACCAAGTCCACCTGCTCTTGTAATAGTAGTAGCGGCATTGTTGGTTCTACTCCATATTCAACTGAACCTGTCTACTGTGTGAACTATAATTCTGGTCTTAGCCATCGTGAATCTGCCCATATGAATGGTGCTGAACAAAACAGTGAGTCATCTAGGATGAGCACAGATCAAAGTTCAGCCTTAGTAGATTCTAATGCAAACCATTTTGGCTTTTGTGGTAACAGGTACCTTCCCCATTACTATCATATCTGACTCTGAAATTTCACATGCCTTTGCATATATATTGCTTGTTTCTTTGGGGGGGGGGGGGTTAGCAAAGAATCCTTCATGATATCAAT